GTGGTTGGTGGTTGGTGGTTGGTGGTCGGTGGTTGGTGGTTGGTGGTTGGTGGTTGGTGGTTGGTGGTTGGTGGTTGGTGGTTGGTGGTTGGTGGTTGGTGGTTGGTGGTTGGTGGTTGGTGGTTGGTGGTTGGTGGTTGGTGGTTGGTGGTTGGTGGTTGGTGGTGGTGGTTGTTGTTGTTGTTGTTGTTGTTGTTGTTGTTGTTGTTGTTGTTGTTGTTGTTGTTGTTGTTGTTGTTGTTTTTGTTGTTGTTGTTGTTGTTGTTGTTGATGTTGTGGTTGTTGTTGTTGTTGTTGTTGTTGTTGTTGTTGTTGTTGTTGTTGTTGTTGTTGTTGTTGTTGTTGTTGTTGTTGTTGTTGTTGTTGTTGGTTGTTGGTTGTTGGTTGTTGGTTGTTGGTTGTTGTATGTTGTTGTTGTTGTTGTTGTTGTTGTTGTTGTTGTTGTTGTTGTTGTTGTTGTTGTTGTTGTTGTTGTTGTTGTTGTTGTTGTTGTTGTTGTTGTTGTTGTTGTTGTTGTTGTTGTTGTTGTTGTTGTGGTGGTGGTGGTGGTGGTGGTGGTGGTGGTGGTGGTGGTGGTGGTGGTGGTGGTGGTGGTTGTGGTGGTTTTGGTGGTTGTGGTGGTTGTGGTGGTTTTGGTGGTTGTGGTGGTTTTGGTGGTTGTGGTTGTTGTGGTTGTTGTGGTTGTTGTGGTTGTTGCGGTTGTTGCGATTGTTGCGGTTGTTGTTGTAGTTGTGGTTGTGTTTGTGGTTGTGGTTGTGTTTGTGGTTGTGGTTGTGGTTGTGGTTGTGGTTGTGGTTGTGGTTGTGGTTGTGGTTGTTGTTGTTGTTGTTGTGGTTGTGGTTGTGGTTGTGGTTGTGGTTGTGGTTGTGGTTGTGGTTGTGGTTGTGGTGGTGGTTGTGGTTGTGGTTGTGGTTGTTGTTGTTGTTGTGGTTGTGGTTGTGGTTGTGGTGGTGGTTGTGGTTGTGGTTGTGGTTGTGGTTGTGGTTGTGGTTGTGGTTGTTGTTGTTGTGTGGTTGTTGCCTTCCCAGGTCATCAACAATGCCATCGGCGTGCACCCGAAGGCCGGAAATCGCTTGTCCTAGCCTCCTGACCCAATCTGGTCCATTGTCCGTCTCTCACTCAATTCCAAGCCGGGGCTGATGTTTTTGCTGCGTCGTATTGTCGCTGGCAGCGTGCCAGTTGGCTGTTGCACGAGGCGCTCTTGAACTACGACACCTTGGATGCTGAGACCAAGGGTTTGATCGACGAGCGCATGCGTGGCTATGATGGACCCAAGGTCCCCTGGCTGATGTTACAGAAAAAGACTTGAACGAGTGGTCAATGGGAGTTGCTCCTGGTTGTGTGATTGCCGCGATGCAAGTCGCCAGGACTTCTACATCAAGAAAATCGCGGAAGGCATTGCCACCTTGGCCGCATCGGTGTATCCGAAGCGCATCATCGTCCGGCTGTCCGACTTCAAGTCCAACGAGCCGCTTGTCTCCATGTGGAAGCCTTCTGCCGGACTGCTCGGACTCTCCGACTCTTCGACTCTTCCGTCCGAAGCCTCACCTGAGGTACAAGAGCCTGATCGGTGGCGAGCAGTACGAGCCCGACGAGGAGAACCCCATGATCGGCTTCCGCGGCTGCGGGCGCTACACGGACCCCTTCTTTGAGGAGTGCTTCGCCATGGAGTTGGAGGCTAGGGTTATGAGGGTTCTGTGCCGCCTGGGCCGCTTGTTGTGAAGTGATGTCCGAACCATACATGGGTGCAGCCGACCTTTTCTTTCTTCATATTAAGTCAGGTAGACCTTTACCCGCATCGCTGCAACTTTTACTGCGTCGTTCACGCCGCCTTCTCGCTACGTTGTGTTTCCTCCTGTCCATTTTCCATTCATTCACCTGACCACCCAACAACCCACCCACTCACTTCCCAGCTGGCTCGCTCACTCACAAGAGGTACGCATGTGGAGTCATCCGGGCCTTTGATTAGTACCAGGTTTTGAGTCTGACTCACGCGGCCTCAACGTGCCAAACTCTTAATCGGCCCTAATTCCAACAGTTCCGGAGTCCGGCGTGGCGTCATGCCTGCATGTTGCCAGGCCGTGAAGATTGCCCGAGGAGAGATGGGACTGAAGAATGTGGAGATCATGATCCCATTCGTCCGCACCCTGGACATGGCTAAGGATGTCAACGAAGTGCTGGTGCCCTGGCTCGCGCGGTTGGGGCACGGTTGGGAAATGGGCTCTCATGAACAATGAACCGCGTATTTGCAATTCGTTTGATCTGCTGCAGAAGACGATTGCAAGCACATGCTCGGAACGGCGCCGGCTTCGAGCCATTTGAGGAGAAGAACGGCCTCAAGAGGGGCGAGGATGGCCTGAAGGCGGGCCGTTGTGCTGTCAAGCCGTTTGGACCGAAAATCGAGCGCGGCGTGTGGAGAAGTTGGATTGGTAGCGCTCTCCGGCACCTCCCGGGATTCACTATGTCGAGCGCCCAACCTATCAACTGTGTCAACTGACCAGAGGTGCAAATGATGGCAGAGCTGCCAAGCAACGTCTTCTTGGCAGAGGAGTTCTTGGAGTACTTCGAGCTTTGTTCTGCACGAAAAGTGTTCAATGGATATTATGGATCTCGTTGGAACTCGCTTCGTTCATACTGGCTCAGGATGGCTTCTCCATTGGCAGCAACGACCTGACGCAGTTGACTCTCGGCCTGGACCGTGACTCAGGCGCGTTGTGTGCGCCTCTCCGAGCACACCATGGAAACGCGCAGTCCGACATTTGTTGTTGGCCGTTCGCCGTTCCTGTCATTCTGTCCAATCCAAGGCATTGCGACATTTGCAAGTTTCACATCCTCCTTCCGGTACCAAACCCCTGCTTTGTCCGGATGCCGTTTGCGCAGGCTTGGTTGCCCAGTACTTTGACGAGCGCAACCCTGCTGTGATGAAGGCTTTGGAGACCCTCATCAAGGCTGCCAAGGCCAAGGGCAAGCACCAGCCTCAGTTTGCGATGCTTTTGTCTTAGGACACGACTGTAGGAGTTGAATGTGATTCACCGCCAGGTATGTTGGCATTTGTGGTCAGGGCCCTTCTGATCACCCGGATCTCGCCAAGTGGCTCATGGAGCAGGGTATCGACTCTGTGTCCCTCAACCCCGACTCTGCCACTTGGAAGTGGCAGCGAGGGATTGAGCAAAGTCACGGCACCTGAGCCACAATCAAAACCCGAGTAGATGAAGGCTAGTAAGGGACAATCCCAACCACAAATGACTGCGTCCGCCTTCTTAATGCTTTACGCGTTTCCAATTGTCTCCAGGTTTGTCCGGGTTTACCGCTTTTCGAGGGTACTGCTTTCAGGACAAGGGAGAATGGGGGCTGCTTGTTTGCACCCTCAAGACATGGCAATCTTTAACAAATTGCAAAGCTTGAGTTCACTAAAGCCTGCAACCCTCAAGTCCCCCCAAAGAAAAGGAACTGCAGACCACATGCCCCCTCCGTCCTATGGGGTAAGTTTGCATTTGGGTGTATTGTTTGCAGCAAAGCAATGTTGTTAATGTTGGGGTTCTCTATGCTGTCTCCCCACTTTGTCCCGCTGGCCTCCCTGGCCTTGCTTGGGCTTGGTGACTCGCACCTTGTGACGGTCTCCCCCATTTATCACAGCTGTGACAGCTTGCTGTGACAGCTTGTCGCCGGGGAAATTGTTACAGCTTGTCTCCCTGTTCTCGCCGCTTGCACTTGCTTATGACTTTGTCAAGGCGTGCAGGAGATGGGAAACCATGAATCAATGAAGTGCCTTCCGTTCGGCTCTTCCACGTGTGTAAGAGAAGGCAGTCAACGTCAGGGATTTCGTGGTTACTTGCAGTCTTTTGTGTGAGTGCATGGCTGCGTGTCTACTACTTGTAGAACAAAAATCGTGCACGCAGCTGGCTGTTTCGAATATCCCTTGAAAATCGTTGTGGTTTTCTTTACTTTTAGTAGTAACAAAGAAACAACAACCCAGTTGTCATTTTACACTCCACCCCTCTCCGCCCCCCTAACAAGGCGAAACACGTGCAACGCCTTTCACTCCACAAGTGGTCTTCCCTCAAAAGTTGGCTGGGGCCTGCGCCATCATGGTGCCCGCCTTTCAATTCTCAGACGGCCCCCGTTTTTTCTTTCCATCAACGACAACAACGAGCAGCAACAGCAGCAGCAGGGATAACAGCAACAACGACAAGAAGCACAACTGCAGCCCCCATGTCCCCTCTGTCCTGTCCATCCATTTTTACGGGGTCGCAGTGTTGGGACGTTTTTTTGAGATCGAGGTTTTCGGATCTTCAAGATGGCACATGGGGTCTGCTTGTTGTGGAAAAACAAAATGAAAGGTGCCTGTGCATTAGTGATCAAGCCCATACGCACAGAAGACTCATCCAGACATGAAGCAGTATTTGGTTTAATGGGTGCATTCCTTGTAGATGACCTGGATTTGTACCGAAGTTCCTTTCCTGAAGAGTTCTTGATGTTCAGCCAGTTGTCTCTTTCATGTGCTAAATAAATGTATTTGTGGTTGCTTAGTTGGCAAGTTTGTTCTCGTCAGATGTCCTGCCAACCAAGGTCATCCCAACTTGGCAATTCTTGGGCAAGAAGTGATTTGCCACAGCTCTGTCTCGGATAATGAATCGATTGCACAGCCCAGATGCTTCATGCATGTTTCAACGTGTTGCATGTGGGCCTTGCGTGGCTCAGCATTTCTCATATTCCTTGGGAAAAACCTTGCCAGCTGCGGGGCTGGTGCCCAAGAGTATCTATTTTCTCGCTGGCTGTCGTCCCACGCGTATGCGCAGAGACTCACAGCTCGGCATTCCAATTGAGCATTTTGCTACTCAGCGCTCAGTTGAAAATGGTCAACGACAGAGTTTGCATGCCGTGTGAGGCTCATGTGAGCATTAGCGGCAGAATTTTGGGATATCTGAGAGGAGGCATTCAGAGCCAGCCGTGCACCTGCGGCTCAGCGTTTGGGAGCAAAGGTGGTAAGCCAGGTAGTGGACTTGAAGATTCGCGGGTCGAAGCTTGGAAGCGCGCTGCGAGCTTGAATACGGCCAAGGACGGACACACAAACAGTTTCCACCCAAGGCCATGCCCGTTCAGTCGAAGATTTGCCGTGGTGCCGCTGTGCTGGGCGCCAGTGCGGTTGGTCTGGGCTTTGTGGTGCCACAGGTGCCGAATGTTTGACTCGTGCGGGCTGCATGTTGCATGGCCAGGCCAGCCCCAGCGCGGCACGGGCCGCGGCGTCCACGGCGTCTGCCTCCCCGGCCTCCCCTGCCTTCAGCCCGAGCACGGGCATCGCGAGCTGCGCAGTGGCCGGGGCCGTGAGCTTCGCCGCAGCCCGCCGCGCCGGCGCCCGCAGCACCCGCGCCCGCAGCAGCGCCAACGCCCGAGCCCAGCGGGTGGCGTTGTTTGCCCGCGGCGGCGAGGAAGACACGCGCGTGTGCATCCCGCTTGAGGACAGTCGGAGGTCCTCGGTCGTAGAGGTTGGGGGTCAGTGCCGAAACTCACCAGGAACTCCGCAACACCGATGTGGACAAAGTGGGCGGCAAGAGCGCCTCCCTGGGCGAGATGATCTCGCAGCTCTCCGACGTGGGTGTGCCGGTGCCAGGCGGGAAGTTGAGCGTGGAGATGCGTGGAGAGTACTGGAGATCGGGGGTTGACAATGTTCAACTCAGATCTTCTTTGCACCCTGCTTCCACACCGATCGCACAGCAGACGGGATAGCATGTTGATTAGTTCAGGAAGGCTGAGTCGAGTCAATTTGGTGGTTCAGGTGGCTTCAGCACCACTGCGTTTGCCTACAAGGAGTTCCTGGACAAAGGCGGGCACCCTTGAGCACTAGTAACTTCATAGGGGCACAACGCTTTGAGTTGTTTCTCAAGTCACTTTCAGAGTGGGGCGCGAAAATAGCAACATAATGAAGAACAGATCGCGAACTCGGCATGTTTGGATTCCGCAACAACCAAGGTGGCATCAACGACTTCATTAACAATCAGCTCTCGGATGATACCATCTACACAGATGTGAACAAGCTGATGGAGGCCTTGTGAGAAGCCCTCATGCGGCCTTTGTCACTGGTCTGCTGTGTCCATGCCCATGTTGCGGAGTGGGCTGACGCTGGCATTTCTAGCGCTTCAATCAAGATGAAGCGCAGGTGGGCAAAGCAATCCGTGACAAGATCATGGACACCCCGTTCCAGGAGGATTTTGAGGCGGAGCTGAAGGCTGGAATTTCGTAAGTTGTGCGCCAGATCGATGCCAGCTCCCTTGTAGAGGTATTTGTGCAAGCTGCGAGTTTGGGAGAAACAAAGCTTGGCTTGCGTCATTGCGCAATCTTGCGGCATTGGTTGTCTGGTTGTTGTTGTTTGCCATGCAGCATGATGCTCTGGCTACGTGGCATGCACATGAGTCACATTGCTGTTCGGATTGGATCCGGGATCGCTGGGATTCGGCATCCGGGATCTGGGAAATCGCCAGGAACAGTGGAGCCGCGTCTCCGGCGGCGACGACAAGTTCACGTTCGCAGTGCGGTCTTCTGCGACGGCCGAGGATCTGCCAGACGCTTCCTTCGCTGGGCAGCAGGAGACCTTCCTCAACGTAATGGGCTATGAGGAGCACAAACACTGACAGCCTGAGGCAAACGCAAGCGGACGGGAGGGGCATGTAATTCCGTTTCGTACAGGACCTGAAGCAGAAGGTGCACTTGGTCTTCGCATCGCTCTTCACAGACCGAGCCATCTCCTACCGCCATGACCGAGGCCGGAGCAGCTGTGTGTGGGCCGGGCATGAAACGGCACTCAGCGCAGAAGATCAGAAGAAAACGGTTTGAGCTTGTCGCGTTCCAGTCAGTCCCAGTCTAGGCACGGCGATGCCAGTACCCTGGTGAGGCTTTGAGCACGAGAAGGTCCAGCTCTGCGCAACCTGCCAAAAGATGGTGCGCAGCGAGACCGGCTCCGCAGGCGTCATGCCGCCTGGCTGGCGTTGGCACAGCCTCAAGGCAAGTGCAGAAGTAGTCACGCAAGCGGGCGCCATGTTCTTTGATGGCAAAATGTCCCGAAACAAAGGGAACACCTGGGTTGATGAGTCTGTGCTGCCAAGAGATGTTTGTGTGTGTGTGGTGTCACCTGTGCTCAATCTGATTGGTCAACATGGCCCAAGGTTCTCCCTTGACACCGAGAGCGGCTTCAAAGATGTGGTCTTTGTGACCGCTGCATGGGGCCTGGGCGAGACGGTGGTGGGTGGCACCGTGAACCCGGACGAGTGGCGCCCAGACTCCTCTTTGTGTTTCGGGGCTGGCGCATGCTGGTGTTTCCAGTCCTCACTTGAGCGACGATCAAAAAACGTATGAATAAACTTAGTCTTGGGGTGCCAAACTGGGATTCCGCGGAAACAAATGCTCGTACCACTTGCGATGCAGCTGTGGCCATGTCCGTGACAAGCGTTGCCCGTGCTGTCCGGCTGGCTGCGAGGTATGTCTTCAAGCCCACGCTGGCGGAGGGCAAGAACTCCGTGGTCTCGCGCACCATGGGCTCCAAGCTGGTGAAGATGATCTACAAGGCTGGGCCGTGGGGCGGGAGCGCCGTGCTGCGAAGAAGTTCATGTATGATCCAGTTCCAGGCCGTTCGATTCATGGCTCTGCACGCACCCAGACGAAAGCGTATTCCGCCATGTGGCAAACCAGTCTGATTTGTGTACGTGCAAGTGCGTGTTGCGTGCTTTCGCGCAGGAAGGCGGCGGCTCGGAGGTGGTGGACACCAGCGAGGAGGAGCAGAACAAGTGGTCGGCCTCGGATGAGGAGGTCAAGGCCTTGGCCGAAATGGCCGTGAAGATCGAGAAGCACTATGGCCGGCCCATGGACATCGAGTGGGCCAGGGATGGGGACGACGGCAAGCTGTACATCGTGCAGGCCCGGCCAGAGACGGTGGCCTCCCAGAAGAAGGTCGGCGTCATCGAGGAGTACAAGATGCTCGAGAAAGGCCACTTGGCTCCAAAAAGAAACCCCGCACCTTGTAGAAACGGCCCGTCCCTCAAATATCTTTGCAGGCCCGGAACACGCTAAACCGATGCTGGAACAACCGATACCCATAGAAGTTATGAAAACACGTCAGGGTAACGTTGTCGTGTCAAACCAAGGGCCCGAAGCCTTACCCAAACCGACACCCAACCGATAGCCAACTCATTTGCCCTCATGCCGAACCTAACCAGTTGCCCTGGAGCTGCCAAAATGCACTTGTCGTACGACATTTGCACTTCACATACTGTACTTGTCCGGAAAGCTGCGACTTTCGAGCTGCAGCTGCCAAACCACTGCAAACTGACCCAAGGAAAGCACTACCGATACCAGGATACAAGCTTACAAGGGTTGTCCAGCGGGTGTTCTCAGTCCACTGTCATTGCAGGTCACGCGGATCTCGTGGATGGCTGGGGCTTGTTTTAAAACTCGCGGCTGGGCTTGGAATCTTGGATGGTCTTAGATGCTTCGTGTTAGGTGGCGAAAAGGTGGCAGAGGGCCGCGCCGTGGGCAAGCGCATTGGCAGCGGCAAGGCGGGCTGGAGCCAATGTAGCTGCAAATGGACAGTGAGATACGGCCTACTTTATTCAAAGCTCGGATGCCAGCGGGTGGTTGCTGTTTAGACCCCAAAGTATGATTTCTCTACGAGGTTTGCCAAACTTGTCACGAAACACAGGTGAACATCCTCACCAGCATTGATCAGATGGCTGAGTTCGAGAAGGGTCAGGTGCTGGTCGCTGACATGACGGACCCCGACTGGGAGCCCATCATGCAGCTCGGCCGAGTCGCCGCAGGCACGGGCTCGTGGCATAGCTTGACGGCGCGTACTGTCGATCAAGAGTACCAATTCCACCATTCTAAGTCATCTCATCACGAAGCAGGCCCTGGGCCGATCCAGTAGCTGCAGTAAGTATGTTTATAAAGTAAACAAAGCCGCAGCTGATCAACCAAGTACACTGATCACCAAGTATCCACATAGATGATCAGCTAAGCAGCCCAGTCGAGTAAGTAGCGTAACTGCCCAGCCGACGCAGGACCCAACGGGTGATCAGCAAAGTGCCCTGATCAAGTCGTCATCATCCCGAGCGAGGCTGATCATCTAAGTACCCAGGTCAAGTAGTAACCCTGTGGCCGGCGAAATAGGTCTCCCGGCTGATGGCGCTGGACAGACCCATTGTAGCAGAGGGGTGTCCGAGCAATCCCATGCCGTGCGTGGGCATCCTGCAACTCCATCCCACTTCAAGCAGTGAAGTCTCCTCTATGCAGCGGACCCTAATGTTGGGGAGTGAATAATAAAGGGCCCCCCCCCCTCAAACAAAATGGGGGGGGTCAATAGAGAAAACCCTAAAAACAAAATGAGGGTCAGACCGGGTCTTCCCTAAGTAGTATTCCAGTAAGTATTGGTTAGTATTGGTTTAGTATTGGTTTAGTATTCCCTGGCCCCAGTCCTAAAAGACTTTTCTCAATTAACCCCCCTTAAACAAATCTCATTATTGGCTTCCTGGGTGTTCCCTGTACTACCCCCTTGAAAATTTGGCAGGGTGCAACTTTTAGTAAGGGCTGTCATAAAGAATTTGGCTGTTGGGGCCTCA